TAGAAATGTATTTTAAAATCACATTTTCAAGAAAATGTCAATTTAGATTTTTTTGCTGCTAATGCAATTGGAAGGTAGCCAGATCTTACTGAAAGTGGCCCCAGGATGTGAAATGATAGAGTTGTTACTGTGAAGTGTACCTTCTCTTATTTGCTGTACTGAATATCAGTAAAATAGTCTAATACTATGCACAAAAAAAGTAAGTATCATCTGAGGTGTTAAACAACTGTGGAAACAGGGGTTTTTTTATATTTAGCAACGAGTTACAATCAGTCTTATATATTTCTTGACAAGAACAACAGGATGTGGAGAATCCAGAGAAGAGCAATGCTAATGTAAAACTTTAAAAAAAAAAATAAAAAAAAAAAACAAACCACTTGTAAGAATAAAGGTAAGTTGGCATTAGGGCAAGGGGAAGAGATAAGGGGGAATAAGGTTCCACTGCATGATTGGACATGATCACTCATGGGCACTGATCACTCATTGTCTCTCTCCCTGGAAGTATGACAAGGCATTGGATTTATTTGATCATTGATTGTTTGGGTATGAAATCCCTTAACAGTAAGCTTCATTGGCATAGACGGTTATGGTTAGGTGAGTTTGTCTGAACGGTGTTCATTTATTTTAGTGCAGGGGATAGACTAAATGACATCTTGAAATCCCTTCATTTGCACGTTTATGTCCTAAAAAGCTCAAGGATGACTTATTCTGGAAGACTTAGGGTTCTGTGTAGCAGCAAGAGTGTTTCATTGTGCATTATGAACAGTGGAGCAGGCAGGGGACAACAAAATGCTCACCTCTCACTTACTGACATCTAATGATGCCTCTGAATGAGCTCCAGGCATGCATGCTGGCTTCACTGTGCTTAGCTGCCTGCTGTACCGGAGGTAGGTCCTCCCCATGTCAAAGTTAGCAGAAACAAATACATGGTGATCCCTCGGCTGCTGCAGTTGAAGCCTTCTTATAATAAGATAGGGTAAAGAGAGGGAATATGAACCACCATGGGATGTGCTAGCTGTGGCAAGTAAACTTTGATTGCACAAGTATTAAAAGCGACAACTACTTAGAAATGTTCTCCTATTAATGATATCTGGGGTTTTTTATGATTTTTTCCTAATTTGATGGCATGTCAACAGGAAGCTTTCATTGAATAATTAGCCTTTGCCTTACCATTACGTGATTTATGTCACACATGAGTCATAAGTATAAATACAAGCATGCACTTAAGCATTTTTTTATAGTAAGGTATATTCTGAACATATCTTAATATGTAGTAAGATATAATTCTGAATAATTAGCACAAGGATTGCTTCTTTCCCTTCATCACATAATTGAAGGTGATGATTTCTTCTTGGTTAGACAGCAACTTCTAGTTCAGTGGGAACCTAATCTCAGTTGGGGTCTATTAATGCAGCTGTAATACAATAACGTACAAGAATGTTTCTGAACAACTGTGGTTGATGGGTTAAACCTTCAAGATGTGTTTACGGCTTTCCTTATTCTGTCTGCTGTCCCACCCGCAGGTGGTTGGGGACTTCATTTTTCTGCCTTTCTAGTTGTCTGCCACGCTACAGCTTTCACTGTAACTCCACAGGAGACCTGCCAAAACCTCACTTTTGCCAAGTTTGTGTTTTTACCGAGTTTCAGATCCCTGTCTGCATCTCTCAGAACAGAGACCACAATATTTTGGGAGTTTGGGAATACTCTGTAGTATATCTTTTCAGTAAAGATGCATCTGAGTGGCATTTCTGTCTCAAGATGTGAATAGGTCATAGTGTTCATGTAAAGCTAATGCAAATCTGGCTTACTGAGTTCTTCACATTGACAGGGTGGTTAAAACCAGTTTTAATGAAGCTGAATGAATTTAATTAATTGGAAGACTAGGTTAAAGGAATTAAAAACAGAAACAGGAATTTAGAACAAACAAAACAAACAAAACCACAATACTTAAGAATTTAGAGGATAAAAAAAAGAGACACAATCAACTTTTTTTGATGTTTCATTTTTCACTAGTCATCTCCCCCTTATTTTTAAAGATACATCTTGTACTGGAAGAAGAGGTTTGCAGAGCAGCCGATCACAGACTTTTGTAGTGTGATAAGGACAAATTCAGAAGCTCCATTAGGTAAGTACACTGCTTGCTTGCTCTCTGTTGGCCAGATTATGTGATAATTTCTGGCATATACTGCTGCTTTGATCAGCCAAGGGTGAAGTAATCTGACACCAGGTCAGAAAACCACAGAAGTAACGTTTAACTCTTAACCACATATTTAAACTTACCTTTTCCAAGGATTGCAACACGTGCTTCAGCACTGTGCTGAGCGAGGATGAGCTCAATACATGCCTAAATGCAGTGCTGAATTCGGGCCAGTTGCAAATCAAGGCCTTGAAGCGGTGCTGCTTACATCATGGCTGTGGAAGCTTTGGTACCCACTGCATAAGTAACTGGTGACAGTCCTTCCAGAAACGTGGAGAAACGTTCCCAGTGAGCAGTCTTTTCTGACTTCACCCTGTCCACCAACACCTGCTAATGCTGCTAACTTTCCTGGACAGCAGAGCCCAGTTGCCCTTCCCTTCCTCAGCGTCAGTGCTTATTGCCCCAGGAGTATTAGGAGACAGTATCTTCACTGCAGGGGTACAAAGACTGACGTTTTCTGGGCTCCAACACAAGACCAAAGACCATACCCCACTGTTCTGCTACGTTATAGAATCACTGAATGGTTTGGGTTGGAAGGGACCTTAAAGATCATCTAGTTCCAACCCCCCTGCCATGGGCAGGGACACCTTCCACTAGACCAGGTTGCTCAAAGCCTCATCCAGCCTGGCCTTGAAGACATCCAGGGATGGGGCATCCACAGCTTCTCTGGGCAACCTGTTCCAGTTCTTCACCACCCTCTCTGTGAAGAACTTTTTCCTGGTATCTAATCTAATAGAATCATAATTCTGCATGGAGACCTTAAAAGAGAGGAAGAAATGCATGCAGCCAGTGTCAGAGATGGGTGGAAGAGGAAACTGAGTACAAAATGGATGAAAATAAATTGTTTTAATTATTCAAATTAAGTTTAAGAAAAACAGTCCTAGAAAACATGAAAATCACTCCAAAGACCATAATTGCATTTCTCTAACATACATGTGGTTTTGCTTCTGAAATTTTAACGCTCACCTCTCAGTTTGAAAATTGTGAATCAAGCACCTGAATGCCAGTGTGCTATATTTATAAACCATCACTAGTCCTGCCAGAGAACAATGAGAATAGTTCATTGTTTCTTTTTAACAAATTTGCTAATTTTAATGGCTATCTCCTTCAAATTTGATAGCTCAGGAATCAGGGGGATTCTCTTCTTCACACAGGCTTCTGTATAAAAAGATGGAAAAGGCTGAAATCTAGCAAGTTTAAAATTGTAAAAGACTTAATAATGGTCTCAGTTCACCTACCACATAACCCTTTGATTAATAAATAAGCAACTTCCAAATGTAAAATATTTTTATAAGTTTTTCTATATTTTCTTACATGCTCAGTAACTTTAAGGTAATTCATTTGAATAAGATCTGGTTTATTATTAAATTGTATATGAACATAAATAGTTTTTACGAGTTAGTGAACATAAAATATGGGTAAAACACATGAGTAGAAATGTAAATTAGGCAAGTCTCAGTGTGTGTTAATAAAAAGTTGTGGCATGTATCTGCAGATGGAATGAGATCTGATGGTAAAATCTCAGGGCAAGGGAATGGTATACCAAATGATAACTACTGAAAACTGGCAATTACTCAGGGAAATAACTGAAAATTCCACATGCAAGGTAAAATTAAAAGTGATTTCATGTTTCTTTCAGGCTGACATTATACTGTGACCAATATAAATGATTAAAATTGCTTTGTGTCTCCAGAAGAACCATCATAATAAAGAATAAAGCTGGTAAAGGGTAAAACTTGTGCAAGACATATCTTTATACTGAAGTATAAATGATGTAAAAGTCTTCTAACTATGTTTATACAAATATTTAAGAATGTTTCATTAAATTATGAATACCTTTTATAGATTAAAAACCACATTCTCATATTCTTAACACATTCCAAAGGTTTAGCAAATTATATGCCAGAAATATCAAAGCATCTGCAACTTCCCATCCCTTACCCACACTTCCTAATCTCTTACAGAAGAACAGGACAATTATTTTCTTCTATGTGATGTTTTACCAGAAGACAGATTACTTAGAGAACAGCTTCAGCAAAAGAGACTGGTAAGAAATTACTGTTGTTTCATTTTTTTGAGGTAGACAGTTCTGTAAGTGTAATGTATGATAACTTAGTGGGCATTTTTAAATGAAAACATTTTTTGCTAGACTGCAAAATTCTGATTTTTCATGGGTTTTTTAAGCTCATTTCCCTAGCGGCTACACAAACATACACAAACTCCTCATTTATAGATTTTTCCTTGGAATAAATTTACAGGTTGTATGTCAGTGTTCCACACGAGTGGAAAATATGCTGAGAGCACTGAAAAAGGCTGAGCGTGCTGAACATTTTTCTTGCAAGAATCTGCAATGCATTGACACACTATCTTTTGTGTAATGATATGCATGTAAGGAAATTAGCAAAATAAAACTCAGTGAGCGATACTGTGAAAAGAGAAAGTGATACTTATTTACTAAAATCTTCAAGCAAGTGGTTTTAGTGCATTCACACTAAGATTTCATTAATTCACACCTGCATACTGGCAAGCAGCACAGTGCACAAGTGGAGGAAGTGTGTCCAGTGTTGTGGACAGTTTCTGTGAGATGCAAAGGACCAGAAATGCTGGCTGTTGGGTCCTCAGGAACTCCTCTGGTTCTTCTTGCTTGGTGATGGCAACTACGTGTGATAGACTGCTCATACCGTTTTCAGAGTTGTCAGTTCTGAATGCGTGGTCCTTCACGTTAAGCTCTTGCTGACTTCAGCTTCTGTGAGTTTTAGTCCATGTTGTTGACCACTTGTTTGGGTTGGTTTGTTTGTTTGTTTTGCTTTGTTTTCTTGTTTGAAATACACATCTTAAGACTGCTTCTCCTGTGGGGCTAATTAAAAAATGAATGTTATGGGATACATAGCAGCCTTGTTGTCAGTGTCTCCTCGTGTTAGGATGCAGTCTTCTGCACAGTACAGGTGACTTGCCAGCAAGCCTTTAGGTCCTGACATAAATATGCTCCTCGGTTTACTGCTGGCAGTTCTGTCCTGGGAATTGTAAATACATGCCTTTTAATGCTTTGTTATGCTGTTTCTTTTGTTACCTTACCTGGTTGGTAAGGTACCAGCCCTACGTTTCTATAACAAGGCTGTACATAATCAGCATTCAACTAAAGACTCCGAACAGGGCAAGGGGCAATGGACAAAAATTAAAAAGCAGGAAATTCTGTCTGAAAACAAGAAAACACTATTGCTATGGAGGTGCTCAGACACTAGAACAAGCTGTCTGGAGCGGTTGTAGAGTCTCCACCTGTGGAGATATTCAAAACACAACAGTACACAGACCTGGTCAACCAGCTCTAAGTGACTGTGCTTGAGACTAGTTGATCACAAAAGGTCCTTTGCAACATCACTGATTTAGTGATTCAATGATAAGAATGCTGTCTATTTGATGGTTCTTCACTGTACATCATTGCTGCACTTTTTTATACTTCTTCCAGTGTCCCACAATGCCCTTGAGGTTCAGACATCTTGAACATTGCATGTTGGCATGCAGTGTCACAATGATGTTCATCTCCCAAGTGTATATCATGTTGTTGGTGGCTTTGAGGAAGGAAAGAGTGCTAATGTTTCTATATAATGTTGTAATAGTAACTCATGGCTGCTACAGATTGGACTGTACCTTTTTTTTTTTTCAAAGGGCATTTGTTTCTGTGATTGTGGAGGTTTTTTGGTATGCAGTCCTATTCTAGCTAGGCCTTCTCTCCACCACCAGTGTCAAGGGAGTGCAGAATCTCTTGGCAGGTGAGCTGTCTCATCTCTTCTGCAAATAGATGTTCCCTCAAATTCAGAAAAGAGAGCAGGAATTAGCTCAGTGCAAGTGCTGATTTTATTTGTCAGAGTAATTAAATTAGAAAAGAAAGAGCATGAATTCTTACTTTGGTGTGAAATAGCCTTTGCTATTAGCCCTTCTAAATATCAGAATTGTATCTTCAGTTTTTACAGAAGGATTTTGTGAAATCAAACTGCAGCTGTAGTTGGGGCTGATGCAGTCACCACTTTAGTTACAGCAATAAAGTCTGTTTACTTTTCCATTTCCTTTTGCTGCAATCTGAGTGTTGACTTGCAAGTTAAATAGTTATTTTGCTTTGCAAAGTCTTTTACCTCCAGACAAGTCCAGCAATTAAGAGTGAGCTGGCAAATGGGCTCATGTGAGTTGCACAGAATAAAGACCAGAACTATACAACTTTTGGTGGTTTTTCTGCAGCCTTTGAATCCTAACTGCTGTCTCCAGCAGCAAGCCCAAACAAGGACAAATGTTGTCTTTAAAATATGCTAGCTGAAGCATTTCATTTTGCAGTTTTGAAACTCCAGTTTAGGAATATTTCAGGCTGTATTGCAGCAGGGGAGCTAGCCAAGGTGGATGTCATGCAGAGACATTATGGTGACTGTGATGTATTGAGAGAGGCCAAGGAATGAGCCTGAACTAGGTTAGAGAGCACAACTTGCTGAAATAGCTGGCAAGGCTATGTAACACAAAACAGATACGGTCTTTTGGAAAAATACGGTCTTGACAAAGAAGTCGTAGTTGTGAAGCAGTACCAGTCAAGGAAGTCCTGGCAGCAAAACCTGAGATACTAGGACAGGCAATGTCAATATAAGCCACTTGGGCTTATCTTTAAGACTTTTCTAAAAAATGTTAAAAGCCCAAACCTATTTTTTGAAAATACACTGTATTTGAAAATACACTGTATTGTGCTAGGCAGTTACAGTTACAACTTCCTACCACAGCACTGACCTTGTCTGGCTGTCATGTTTATAACTATTCTCCTGTCATGTGACGGGTAGTTTTAGGTGAAGAGGTTACTGTTCCTTGCAGTAGATAGACCCGGAAGAGGAATCTTCACCAAAACTGAAAGAGGGACACAGGGATGTTTAGACTACTCAGCTATACTAGTTTCTCAGGATGAGCTGTTTGTATGATCCCCAGTTTGTCACAAGCTTAAGCCGAGACAAGGTTCTAGAAGTTGAAGCTATGCACTGGAAGGGGTCGAGGTACTACCTTATTTAAGGTAATTGCAGCACCGGAAGTTTTTACAGAGTAGCTGATAACGTCAGCATGTTAATACCTACATCTGAAATTCTGTAGGTCCTGCCTTCCCTAAGTTCTGTATTTAGTTGCTTTTGTCAAGTACTCTGGCACTATGCCCATCCTCCATGAGTTTTTGAAGAGTTGTCACACTAATGGTCAGAAATTGTTTTATCTAATTCCATAATGACTCTTGGGAAATTCTGTCAGATCTGAATACATGTAACATCCAACTTTTAACTCTTTCTTACCCTCTTCTGGTGTCAGTTCATTGTTTCTTTTGTTTTAAATGCATTTGGTTTCACGTTGTGACATTATTAAGCTTTCCTGCAAAGACTGAAGCCATGAATATTGCAAGCATTCCTCTTTTGTCTGTGTTTGGTCTCTTCCTACATTAAGTAATGGATCTCTGCTTTTCTTTGCCATTTATTTATAATGTATTTAGGGGCAGGGGGAGTTTGTTTTTTACTGTTCTGTTTTGCTGTGTTAGCCTGTCTCTATCCTCTTTTGCTTATCTTAGTTCAGATAAGCTTCACCTTTCTCCTTCTTCAGCTTGGCAGCCTGTGGAACATGTCCACTGTCATTTCAATCCTCTTTTTCTTCACATGCATCTTTGCATAGTTACTTAGTTTTCATCATATCATGAAACTCTTCATCCCTTTAAAAATTGACTCAGCTTCCTGAACAAGTTGTAAGAATGTCTTCTACACCAGTGTCATCGTACCCTTCAAAGCCTGAATTATCTGACCTGTCATTAATTGCAGCCTCTTCAAGTGTAGGTTTGAGCCCGTATCGCTTCAGTAGCCAAGTCAGCTCAAGAAGAGGAGCAATAAGGAAGAGAGGAAGAACCTAAGAGCAAGTGGGACACAGAGTTAGGGGAACAATCCCTTATAGCCATCCCAGTTAGTTATTCACACTGTTCACTTAGAACCTGAGCTGCAGATTAGGCTGGAATTGAGGTTAAGGTGCAAAAAAAACCATTTTCCCTATTCCTAAGAGGCAACTTTCCATACAAAACAAGAGTCAGGAGAATGTACCTCAAAGGTTTCACAATAAATTGATAACACTTGTATTACAAACCTGAGACTTTTGCCAATTCATTATAAGGCCGGTTAAGTTATACTTTGGTGTTTGTACTCATTCAGTCTGCCTAGGATCTGTGGTTCAGTAGATTGTTCAACCTGGTTTCCTTCATACATCCTTCCCTCCCCAACCACCACCCTTTTCTTCCCAACTTCCTGTTTTTCCATTCGGTCTTATTTCTCTCTGGGGTTTTTGTAACTGACCTTTCAAACTTAGTTTCAAGTCTTCCCGCTTAGCTGACAAGCCGATGTCCTAAGATATTCTTTCTTGTCTTTGTCAGGGGGCTGATTGGTAGCTTTTGATTCCCCACCCATATGATGATATTCTTAAGTGCTCCCTATTTTATCACTGTTTCCATAGCTCTGTGTTCACTTCCAGTACATGTGGATCTATGCCTGTGCCTTGAACTCAGCTGAAGAGATTGAGGAAGACACTACCTGTCCCTTTTTCTACCTCATTCTTGTTTAGAGAGTTTTGTAGTAACATCTTACCTAAGTATCTACTAAAAAGTCAGGAATAAAAAAAAGGAGCACTCTCAGTTTCATTACCAGATAGGCAGCATACCTTGGATGATAGCAGGTTACAGGACTATTGCTTTCCTCTCATCTGTCCCAAAAGAGGGTCTCTAATGCCATCATCCTTTATTCCTTAGTGACTAGTCTTTGACATGCCAGTCTAGCATGTCTAGACTCTCTGTCTAGCCAGCGGAGCTCTGTTTATGATGTTCCTGAACTCTCAGTTTCATTACCAGATAGGCAGCATACCTTGGATGATAGCAGGTTACAGGACTATTGCTTTCCTCTCATCTGTCCCAAAAGAGGGTCTCTAATGCCATCATCCTTTATTCCTTAGTGACTAGTCTTTGACATGCCAGTCTAGCATGTCTAGACTCTCTGTCTAGCCAGCGGA